CATTCATTTCATCGGACTTCACGCACGGGGAACCGGGAGGCGGTGTGTATTTTACACAATTTCGAAGTGGCAAGGTTTCAGGGGTGCTGAGGAGTGATCGATGACATCGAAACGAAGGGTATGCTACTATTTCCATCATGATATGCACAACTTCCACTACGGGCCCAGGCATCCGATGAAACCGCAGAGACTGGCTGCCCTGCACAGTCTGGTCGTCAATTATGGCCTGCACAAAGAGATGCTGGTCCTTTCGCCACCACGCGCTTCCGCAACTGAAATCGAACGCTTTCATTCCAAGTGAGTTGGCATGTCGGATTCACTGCGTGCAGAGAATTTGTTGCAGCTACGGCCGGGGGAAGGTCATTGACACCTTTTTTGGCTTTTTTTTTTAGAAAAAACAGAATCATTTGTTAGGGAAGAGATGCGCAAAGAATTGGACCTGGGTGCTAAGCTTCTGCCGCGCAACCACACGGTCGGGAGATGATCAGATTGCATGCGTTGTGATATTTCTGGTTTGTTTAATGCAATTTCTGCTGTGGCAGTGACTTCAGCACAAATTTTTTCGACTGAAATATGCCAATAGGATTTTAAAAAAATCCTTGCAGTTAGGCAGAAAATGCCACTATCCGAACTTCTGGGGAATTTGTGTTGCTTATTTGTTCATGGTTTTAATAAAAACAGTTTTTTCCTTCGTTTAAAAGCACATGCGGTGATAAATTACAGCATATTTGTACAGTATATTTCTAGGGATTATGTGGATTTTCTGCAGCGTGTTTCACCGCGTACCGCAGATCAGTTCGAAAGCGTCTTTTCGCAGTACAACATTGGCGAAGATTGTCCAATCTTTGATGGCATTTTTGATTTTTGCTCCATTTACACGGGAGCTACTTTAAGCGGTAAGACATTCACTCTATGAAGAGAGGACAATGTTCTGCGCACAGTTAATCCAGCAGTCCAGTAGTAAAGCTCAGCAGAACATATCTTCTCGTGAGTTGTACTTCTAGTTAACATAAAGGAGAGAGAAAAATCTGTTTTATCGGATTAGCAGAGGTGCCCGTATAAGAAGAATATGACAAGTGATTCGTGGAATCTAGGTTAACCCTGGAAGTCAGAGTAAGAGTAGGAAATAAGAAGTGAGGTAAGACGTTTCGATCCATTATGTCATATACGTTTTAACTCAACACGGCGGTTGGACCTCGTCAGTATGACGGCCACGAAAGGAGAAAGGAAAGGGGGAGGGGGTTGGAGAAAGAGAAAGAAGAGGAAGGAAAGAGGAAAAGGAAGGAAAAAAGGTAAAAGGAATAAGGGGAAAGGGAAAAAAAGGTAAAAGAAAACAAAAGGAAACGGAAAAAGGGAAGAAAGGGATGGAAAGAAAAGAAAAGGAAAGAATAGAAAATGAAAAGAGGGAAGAAAAGGAGAAAAATAAGAAAAACAAAAGGAAACAACCTCAGGAGGGGAGGTATCGTGGCTGGTAGAGTTTGTTCCGAGGGCGTCGTCGCTTTTTTACTTCTTTTAGCAGTAGCCGTGCTGGAAAAAAGGAAATATAGCAAAAGAAACGGGGGTCGTTAAGTCAGTGACATGCGCGTAGCGTGAGGTGAGAAGTGGGTTTCAGGGGACAGAGAATGTAATAAGCGGTTGCAGTTAGCATCTTTGAGGGAGAGGGAGGGAGGGGGTGAGAAAATGAATTTTGGAGCGCCAAAACTTATTGTAATGAATTGAAAAAGGAAAGCGTTTTGCTGTGCTGAAGGCCCAAATTGTATTATGCCTGTTTTATTGGAAAACGAGTACGCCACTGATGCGCCAGTATGTTTGCTGCATTTCAGTAATTTTCAGGCGTGGCTCGTTTGAACCACGGTCTGAGCGATATCGCAATTAATTGGAGCGGAGGGCTTCATCATGCAAAGAAGCGAGAGGCATCAGGCTTCTGCTATGTTAATGATATTGTTATTGGAATTTTGGAATTGTTGAAGTATCATCCACGGGTGCTGTACATTGATATTGATATTCATCATGGCGACGGTGTTCAGGTTGGTGTTTTGGCAGAAAATTGCAACCGCTTTTTCTTAAAACGTATTTTCTTTTGCGCTTTTGTGACTAATGTGTGGATATGGCGGGTAGCAGTTTGAGGTTGGTAGATGCTGATGACACATGACTTCGCAGTTCAAGCCCTCGCAGTTCAGGTGATTTCTGGCAGCAGCAAAATAATGCTTTTTTCACTGCCTTTAAAGTTAAGCTTTTCTCGCCACTGATACTGCTGGGACTTCCTTCGTTCGTTGTTTTCTGGGCCTCCCATTTCCAGCCTTTTTTCTTATATGCGGGAACTTATTTAATGGTTTCTCCCTGTACTTTATTTAAATTTGATTTTTTTCCTTGACAAAATTTTCAGGAAGCATTTTATTTGACAGATCGCGTGATGACTGTTTCGTTTCATAAATATGGTAATTATTTTTTCCCTGGGACAGGCGATATGTACGATGTTGGCCAGGATACGGGTCGTTATTTTTCTGTGAATGTTCCCATGAAGGAGGGCATGGACGATGAAAGTAATTTATTTGCCTCTACGCAACATGTCTTTTCTTGGACTGCACTTTTTTCTGGAAGAGAGCTATGAAAATGAAAATATCACTTTTTCCGTCCAGCACCGATTAATGGACTGCTTTTAGGTAGAGGGAGGCAAAATTTAATAAATAGAAGCGCGCACCAGGGCACCCGATGCGATCATGCGTTTTATGCAATTCCTTCCACTGAACGACTGACCGTTAATGATTTTCACTGCTCTGAATTTAAATTTGAAGGGTTGCATATGGGCAGGGAACAGTCCCCCCAAATTTCAGCTTCCTAGATTCCGCGGTTCCTGTACCTATTGTCATGGGGTTGTCTGTGTGTGTGCGTGTGTGTGTGTGCGTTTGTGTGTGTGTCCGTCCGCATCAACTTATCCGCAACTTTCAACTCAGGAACCACAAAAGCTAGGAAGCTGAAAATTTAGGGCAACGTTCCCCACCCATGTGTGACCCCACAGATTTAAGTCCAGCTTCCACGCATAACGTGTATGACCCAGTGAAAGTTTTGGCAGGGAAAACACAGCGTAAAGCGCAGCAGCACTATAGATTAAAACCTCATACAATGGTTCAAGCATGACACAGCCCAGCTCAGCATTATTGGTTGTTACTTTATACACATTGATATTTGATACTACTGGTTTGTTAGAGTGGCTCATTTGTCCTAGTCCTTTGGAAACTGTTGAAATCATTCTGTGCTTTGATGGTTTATTATTTGTTCCATCAATAATTAAACATTTGTTCGCTTCAGATTACCACTCACTGTTCAAGCCAATAGTACGAGCGGTCATTGAGTGTTACAATCCATCCGTCATTGTGTTGCAGTGTGGCGCCGATTCGTTGGGTTGCGATCGCCTTGGCTGCTTCAATCTTAGCTTTTCGGGCCACGGGTGCGTGAACATCTTCATGGTCTTGTTCTTTGAGAATTTTGCTTATTGCACTTTTACCTGCTGCCTTCTTGGTTCTATAATATGGAAAATCAGTATTAGCTAGAGCAGTCTAGTTTTAAGAGTGATTTTTTAAAAAAATTTTAG